GTATTTAACAAATACATACTCTCATAAATCAATCAATTTAATAAATAATACTTTKTTTTCATAGAATTAATTTTATTTTAAAATAGGTCCATAGACCACTGCAATAGTCCAATCACGATTTTACCAGAATCATTTATTATTCCCTACTTCACAAATATTGATTTCACGAGGGTTTGGGCTTTAAGAACAAAACGTATTCATTGTGTGTTGCATGAACTTTCAAGGGTTTTAACAACATTTAACCGCGGATAAAACATATTATTATACTAATATTAAAAAATATTAATTCATTACTTTAATCTATTACTACGTTTATATGATGGCGTTAAAACGGTTTAAAAATGTAGGTAACCCGTTTTAAAAGTTAAAACGCTCGCACTATGTAGTTTAAGAATTAAAAACCCATTTAATTTTAAACCGTTTTAACGCCATCATATTATAAACGTAGTATAAGTAACCGGTATAATATTATAGTCCCGAATTAAGGTTTAATTTAAAAAATATGTTTCAGTTTATAAATAGGTTAATGATTKTTTTTKTAACTGAATTAATAGTGGGCAATCCCACACGGCGCGTTTGAACAAAAATTGGTGTCATGATTTACTTAACGAATAATAACGAAAATAAATTATTAGTGTTTTCACTGGATGGCTTATTTCCTCATGTGGTTTCATGTTATAAATTCTCACTTATCACATCATATTCTTATCGTGTCCAAGAGGGCACAGGTTGAGTATTTCTCTAAAAATTTAAAAATAATTAGTTATATGTGTTAACAAGAAAAATTTAAAAGTTGAAAGTTAATCTACTTTTTGGTAATGTCAATCTTCGAAAATAATATAACTAGTCAAAAAGGACCTACTGTCTAACATTGGTTTTGTGATGACCGATTGAAAATAATTATTAATTTTAGGTAAATAATTAATACCTGACRTTCCCTAAAATATATGTTTAAAAGGAAATAAAATCAACTAAATTCAATGAAAAAAATTCAGAAAAAATAAATTAACATAACTTCTTAAAACTAAAATTTAATTTGTTGATATCACGTTATCTATTTCAAAAATAATTTTATAGTGAAGTTATAGTAGTTAAATTAACGAAAATTAAATAAGGTAAAAGATTAAAGTAAAATGGACTTTTTACTTAATTTTATGATAACTGTAAAATTCATTATTGCCATTCCTGTATTTCGTCATAAAAAAAAATTGAGATTAAAGTGAATAAACTGTGGTTTAAAAAATGTAATCCACACATGACTTATGGGTTTTGTTAAGATATATGATCATTACGATAGTGCTGTGAATTTAGTGCGTTAAACCGTAATTTTTTACCTACAATCAGAGTGATTCACCAAGCATGGTCCCCCTTATTTCTTCAATAAATCATCTATATAAAATCTGATTTTTAAAATTTTAAAATATACTTAAAAATCATATTTTTAAATTCTTGAGATTTTTTTATACCCCTTAGAGAATGTCTTGTGGAGATATAAATATCTGTTTTTCAAATGGCCCTTTTTGTAACTGTAAATATTGTTCAGACTTTCAGAGTGTAATTTTTAAGAAAAATTTGATTTATTAGAATCAAAATTCGTACGAGACCAAGAAGCTATTCATTTTAATTTTGAATTAGGTTCATCAACATTTTCAAAAATATCATCCACTAAACAATTTACAGTAAAAAAGGAGGTACACATTTGAAAAAAAAACAGAAGTTTGTATTACCACTGGACATTTAAGTATTGGAAAAAAATTCAAGAGTTTGAAAAACTCATCTTTAAGAATTTTTAAAAATTCCGAAAAACAAAATTTTAATAAATTCATTATTGAAAGAAATATGGAGATGAGCATGCTTGGTATACTCTGTATATAAATTATTGCATATTCAGCATTTATATTATATTATATTACACGTTTACTGTCTATACTAACAATAATCATAAGTATCATATTACGATCGGTGGGGACTGTCCATCGGTTATTACTTATTACTTTATTAGCAAGTAGAACATAATGTAAGTACGTCATTACGATTTATACTGTTAACAATAAATGTCTATATAATGCGTTTACGTTATTATTTATATTAATAATACCTAACATAAATTGTACACGAAAATCATCAATTATTTTCTCTACACAATTAAAAATKTATACGTATGTACCAACTATAATATTATGTACTTATAAATATCAGGAGAAAAATAGATAAAATAAAATACCCATCAAGACTAAATTATAAAAAAATATCTTTAAATTATTTCTTAAATTATTTTTAGGTCATCAATTTAAAAAGTAATACATGAATGTATATAGATATTGGTTTTAAAGAATTTTTATAATTCTGGAAATATTGTTTTATTAAATGTTCATACTAAATGTTATAGGTATTTTTAAAATCACTTGTCAATCATTGTACGTTTACATCGTAAGTCTGTATATATATTATATCATGCGAGTATATGACTGTAATCTATGCAGTGAACTTATATGTAATATTGATTTTAATGTTATCCTGAACGTGTGAGGATCATATATTTATAAATATTATATAGCTGTGATGTGTACCTATATTCGTATTTTTGAACCAAAAGTATACAACATAAATTTGAACGTGTATCACGAACGTATCTTAAACTTAAAAGACTCTTGCAAAGTCACTTATATCATGGTTTAAACTTTATACCAATACGGATAAACAATTATCAAAGCTTTAAAAGTATTAAAGTACCATATAACGAATATATATCTTCAGAAGAAGATTACAATTTGTTAAGGAGTGCCGAGTGCAATTTATATTTTGATTATAACGAAAATGAAATCGAATACGAGTAACTGTCATAGTCTAAGTAGGTCAGAGGTATGAATAAGGATTTTTTTTTGAAAATGGGGGCTTAAATTGTATCAGCAGCACAGATCCTGATAATTAATATTTTAAACTAAAATACGATTATAGGTACGCTTATGAAATACGTCATATACTTATTTGCTGTATACAGAATAAGTAACTATTGAAACAGTTATCATTATTGTACTGRCGTAAGTAGGACATTTTCAGGGTTAAAATTTAATTTAATTTTTTATTTAGATTAATCTTGTGTTAAAATAACAATATTGCGAATGCTACTTTACCGCAAAAATATTAAATATTATCATTATTACCTCTTTACTTATGATTAAAAATTTWAAAACAAACGATATTTAAATGTATAAAATGAGTAATTACAGTATATTTTTAACGTTATGAAACATACTTCAAACTTCAATGAATATTTCTAACTTTTACACGCTGTATCTTATAAGAAATTCTTAAAATTGTAATATTYAAACCTATGTTTTGAGAATTTAATACATGACACCTTATAAAATGTTCATGTAGTAATTAAACAATATTGAAAATACAGTCTCAACATATTTTTATAAGCGTCAAAAATTAGAATTTTGTGAAAATTCGAAAATATTTAACCGTTGAATATTTTTAAAATATTCTATTTTTATAGCTAAGACATGAATATTTAGGTAATATATGATTCCTCATAAGAAGTTATTAATAGGTACTAAAGCATGAAAATCTTATGCAAAATATGTTGAMATTTCATAATATTTCAAAGAGACAAAGAATTTATTTATATTTTATATAATAGGGGGTCCAACGTTATAAAAGATATTTTCACTATACAAGTGGACAATTAACCAAAAGCAACCTAAAAATCATGAAAATATAAATTATTTTTATGGACCCTTTTATAAGACTCTTTATATAATAATAAAGTTTAAAAAATAGTAAATTTCTTTAAAAATTTTAAAAATAAGGTTAAACATTTAATGAGTTTTTGTTACTTAATTATTCTAAAAATAATATTGTTTACAGAYTAGAAGATTTTTGCCACAAGCCACAACTATACGTACGTAGATATATATATTTTGATAGTATGAAATAATTTTTTGCTACGTCAAATACAAAATTATATTTTTATAATAACACAGGTATATATGATTTAGGTACCCATATAATTTATGTTATCGTATCGATAGGTAATATATATTTCTAGTATATAGAAGGTACATAAAATAAATTGCTGCAGTTTGTTAAATAAATCTTTTCAGTTTTGTMGCAGATTGTATAATGATAGAATTTTAACTGTCGCAGTTTACAAATTGACTTTCAGAAAATTTGACGCAGTTWAACATCTCTACTACACTTAGTACCCACTTGACAGTTGAAGGTTATGTATGGTGTCTAGTATTTATTTTTAAGTCGAATAAAGTCTATTCAACGTTAAAATTAATAATTAATTAAATATCGGATAAGTATATGCACATTTTGATTATAATACGATTAGYATTACATACCTATTACCTATATAGAAGAAAGTTGGAATAATTTATAAATAAGACGAATTAGTTCATGATACTCATTAGTTATTCGTGAATATGAAATCATCTAGGTAATTGGCATACGCCGTACATTGTCTCAATTAGACTGCAAAGTGCACAATAAAACTAATGCATTTACCATAAATTAAGTTCGATAGATATCAAGTACCTAAAATATAATATTCAATTGCATTTAAAACAATRSYATTTACTTAAGAACAAAATTATTTCAATAAGTGAACGGTCGAGCACCGGTAATTATTCGTGTACCTACCCGAATGCCTATTAGTGTATAAATTTAAAAATTGACGTTGCGCGCGTTTGGTAAAAACTCTTAGTTGAAAAGTTTATCGGCTACCGCGAGTCGAAGGCGAATTAATTATGAAAACAAACACTTAAATAACTTAATGCCCAGTTTGTTTGCAATACAGCATCATCGAAGAGGGATCTTGCGGTTGACTGCGGGTCGTTAGGCCGTAGCGTTGTGTTGAAACGCCCGTTGGTGGGGTAGGGGGGCGATGGAGTGGAGAACCAATTGGGACCGGGGCAACGGGTAAAATGTGCGGGTGAACGATCACGTTATTGGGGGGGGGAGAGGAGTGGAAGTCGAACAATATTTACCTTTCCGGTTTTCCGCGTCGACCGCACGTCGACCGACTGATGGTGTAGAACTGTTGTAGAAGTGTAGACGATGAGCAAGCGAGCTGTGAATAATAATATAATATTATGTTGTGTGCGAGCAGTGCGACGCGGACGGAGTGACTGTTGTAGTGCTGTTTGCAGCAGCTGCAGTATGACGCGACCGCGGTTTGTGGACCGTGGAGGGAGGGTCATCGTGCCGCCGGCAGCTAATGATACGCACGTAACATTAGATTGAGCATTAACGTTACGTCATAAGCAATAATAGTACCTAATGATACGGTTGTTGGCATCGTATTGACTCTTGATAATATTACAATAATATTATCAGAWTCATATTATTTATCCCACTATATAATATTAAGAGGACGTGATACACGCATGTGTTGTCTCCGTCTTACAAGTGCGTAACATAAYATAGCAATTTGTTCACTCGGCAGAATACGTGTAGGTAGGTTAGTTTAAAATTTAGAGTGAATTAACATGTAATAAAATTATTATCTAGGGTTTCTCATAGGCTTTTTATTATATTTTAATTTTAAAGTGAGTTATGAGTATTTTAAAATTCCAAATTGTTTGTATATCTTAAAATACTCATAAATCGCTCTAAAATTAAAATATAATAAAAAACCTATGAGAAGCTCTAGATAATAATCTTACCTTTAAATTTTATTAGAGGTTAATTCATTCTAAATTTTAAACTAACAGAGCTACTAATGTTGTTCTRAGCGTAATATTTGCTGTGTTACGCACTTGTAAGACGGACACAACACACGCGGGTATCGCGTCCTCTTAATTCAAAAATTAAAGTGAATTGTCCTCTTATAAAATTTAAAGGTAAGAATATTATTTAGATTACCTCATGAGTTTTTACTATATTTTAATTTTGAAGCAAGTTTTAAGTATTTTAGATGTACAAAAAAATTACAATTTAAAAATACTTATAACTCACTTCAAAATTAAAATATAGTAAAAAGCTCTTGAGGTAGCCTAAATAATATTCTTACCTTTAAATTTTAAAAGAKTTCGAATCACTTAAATTTTTGAATTAACGAAGCTAAACGTTATCTGCTAAGCGTAAAATTTGTTATGTTACGCACATTTATTAAGACGGAGACAACATAATATGCGGGTATCACGTCCTCGCGCAGTTATGATTTTGTTCAGGGAGAGGAATAGATCATAAACGTCGGGTGAGGGATTTGCTCCCTGGCTTTTTAGACAATTAAATCGTTTATCGTGGGGTAACATGAACGTATGCTATCATCATAATAAATAATAATTAATTTAATATACAGTTTTAATAAGATCATCAAGCAAGTTATGCATAAATCAGTTGAGTGAGTAAAATTATTACCTACTATA